CGGCGTTTGAAGAGAGTGACGTGCTGAAGCCCGAGTGAGCACTTTGCGGTGGGACACCTGCCCGGGCCGCCCCCCCAGGGTGCGAAGCCCGCGCCGCGGGGCCTCCCCCCACGGCCCCGACCACCCGTGCGATGTCCTGGACGTCGCGAGGGCACTGGCCTGCTTGCGCCGCCCCCTAAGGTGTCCACCAGCCACAGGGGGCCCCGGAGCGGCATTTAAATGTATTTCATTTTAATTCCGTAGCTGCCTTCTTAGACTCAGGGAGCTGGGATGCCCTGGGGAGCGCCGGAAGGGGCGTGGTCTGTCTTTATGAAGAATACTTACCGCTTATCCATAAAACGTCCTTATCCCAAAACAAGCTCCACAGTAAATGTTATTTTAAAATTAACACATTTGGGGGAGAAAGGGGACTCGACTTATTTTTATAAAATGGTCCGTTGAAAATGTGGCGCTGAGTGTGGGCACGTTAGAGCACGTAGGTCCCTACATTTACTCTACACGTGGCCATTGTCCACCGCCGTCCACACAGGCCTGGCCTGAGCCAGACACAGCGAGGGGGGCGAGGCCAGCTGCTCGGCCAGGGGCTCGGGTTGTGGGGGGTCATGACCACTCCATGCAGTTCCACCACATGCGGTGTCTCCACGGGTGATGGGAAGGCCCGGGTCCCTGTGCCCCTTTCTGGTTAAGGGGGGGAGGGGTGGGGGAGGGGTGGGAGAGAGGGAGGAAAAAAGGGAGGAAATATCATCAGGTTAAAATGTGGACAGTTTGGGAGTGACTGTGGAATAGGAAACAGCCATCGTCTGAGTAGCGAGCGTGACCCCAGAGAACCCGGGACTGGTCCTCCCAGGGTGCCAGCTGCCTTCAGCCCTCCCGCTGGGTGGGTTCGCATAAATGATTTGTAAAGTGTTTTTCTAAATTTGTCTGTAAAACAGCAGCCATCGGACCTGAGCCAGCCTCGGTCCACAGCTGTAGCTGGGGGAGGTGGGGGTTGGTAAGTCACCGGGACGGGGTGTGCACAGACTTGGAAGTGGAGCGCCCGGGCGGGTGTGTGCAGACGCAGACGGCGGCGAATTTCAATCTGTGCCTCCCGAGCCCCGGGGAGTACAGCACTGAAGCAGGGGGTCCCGCGGGGGTGAGGCCGACGGAGCCCTAACGAAGCATGCCCGACTCCGGAGACCAGGTTCAGTGACGCAGATCCAAGTTTATTGTGTGAGTGCAGGAACATATATCACACGTCAGGCAGCCAAGTGTTTGTTAAGCAGACCCCTGACCCAATAGTAGGAAAGATCAGGGCCGATCGTGAACACGTGCTTTCTCCTGTTTTTAAGAAATGGAAGAGTTGGCGGAGCACGGCGTGTTTCTGCCTCCTAACATGCAAGGCCTGACGGACGAGCAGATTGAGGAGCTGAAGCTCCGGGACGAGTGGGGTGAGAAGTGCGTGCCCAGCGGAGGCGCCGTGTTTAAGAAGGACGACGTGGGACGCAGGAACGGCCACGGTAATCCGCTCTTCTGCGCCTCGGGCCTGACCCACGGCCGTGGGCGTGGCCAGGAGCGGAGCTCAGCCTTTCCCACGAAGCCAGGAGCACTGGCCGGGCGCCTCGTGCACAGCGCCGCCCCCGTGGGTTAGGGGTGAGGAAAGCGCCGGTCTCGCTCGTGTGCAGCTGGCTTGTAACATATCGGATGAGCCATGTGAAGTTGCCATTGTTGTGGGTCACAAATGGTTGAAAATTGGCGATTTCGTATGGCACAGCCTGAGTTTTGGGGGGAATCTCTGAAGACGTATGGAAGGGTGTTTTGTTACGATGGGCAGAACCGGCTTCATTTAGAGCAGTGGTTCTCAACCTCCTGGCCCTTTAAATACAGTTCCTCATGTTGTGACCCAACCATAAAATTATTTCCGTTGCTACTTCATCACTGTCATGTTACTACTGTTCTGAATCGTCATGTAAATATCTGATATGCAGGATGGTCTTAGGCGACCCCTGTGAAAGGGTCATTTGACCGCCAAAGGGTTCGCGACCCACAGGTTGAGAACCGCTGCTTTAGAGGTTTGTGGGAAAGAGGCAGTGACGTCAGCTCCGGGTCTCCGCTGGGTCTCCGTCACCCGCTCGGTGCACCCAGGAGAGGACGCGCCCGGTCAGTGGGCGGCTGAGCCTGCGGGTCTGATGAGCGGGCGGTGACTCCTCTGCACCTGCCCAGCAGCAGCAGCTCCATCCGTGTCGTCAGCAAACACTAAGTGTCCGCTGCGCCCAGCACTGAGGAGCAGAGAGATGCAACGTGTCCTGCACGCATGGTCTCTGCCCGCTCACCCAGACGTGTACCAGTATGTGCGCGCTCACCCAGACGTGTACTAGTATGTGCGCGCTCACCCAGACGTGTACTAGTATGTGCGCGCTCACCCAGACGTGTACTAGTATGTGCACGCTCACCCAGACGTGTATGTGCGCGCTCACCTAGACGTGTACTAGTATGTGCACGCTCACCCAGACGTGTACCAGTATGTGTGCGCTCACCCAGACGTGTGTGCATGCGCTCACCCAGACGTGTGTGCATGCGCTCACCCAGACGTGTACTAGTATGTGCACACTCACCCAGACGTGTACTAGTATGTGCGCGCTCACCCAGACGTGTACCAGTATGTGTGCGCTCACCCAGACGTGTGTGCATGCGCTCACCCAGACGTGTACTAGTATGTGCACACTCACCCAGACGTGTGCGCGCGCTCACCTAGACGCATAGTGTGCTCACCTAGAGGCGTGTGCTCACCCAGACGTGTGTGCATGTGCTCACCTAGACATGTATGTTTTTCATTTCATACGTAAACACATGTTTTGGGAATAATAGGAATTTCTAGCACTTCCTGTGCCTCTGCCTGGGGAGTGGCTGGTTGGCTTCCATACCTGTTCAGGCCTAAACTCGCTCTCACCCTGGAGATTCTTTGCTTTTAGAAGGAATTGCATCAATGAAGAAACAGTCCTGAAGACAGCGTTCCGAGTGTCCAGTGCTTCCTGTGTCTAGTTAGCACTGTTCTCACGAATGTAAGGAGTGAGCCTGCCCGTCTCCCTTAGGTCTGGGCGTTCCGTCTCCATTGTTTTTCAAGTTAGGACTTCTTCCCCGTTCGGGCTGAGCAGCTCGGCCCCGAGCCCAACCCACTGCACCTGCTTCTGTAAAGTCGCCCCCCCCCCCCAACCTGTCTCAGCAGCGCCTGTGGGCTGCCGGTCACGCTGAGGGGGGCCAGAGAGACTGTCACCACGCGGGCTGACATGTGTGCTGGGCCTCAGCTCCTGCTCTGTGCGCCTTTGCCCCTGTGCGTGGAACGCCGCTGTGTCTGCACGGCCAGGATGTCGGTCCCTTCACTCCCCCCCCCCGAAGCCCCCACCCCCCCCAAGCCGGGCTCGTCTCATGTCGCCTGCTCCCGCCTCCGATGAAGAGCGTAATGTTAACGGTGGCGTCTCCCCCTCCCTGTTTCTGCAGCTCCAAACGAGAAGATGAAGGACGTCCTGAGGAAGACGATAGAAGAAGCCAAAGCGATGATCTCCAAGGTGAGCCTGTCCCGTGCCCACCGGCCGCCCTTTCCTGCTGCCTTTAAGCCTCCAGGGGCGAGTGGGGGCCCTGGCCTCCTCCCACGCTGTGCCCAGCCGTTCGCCCTGCCCCTCCGTCCCCAGTCAGGATGCGCGGCTGGAGTAGGTGGCTCCCTGTGGAGCCTGTGGGCAGGAGGCCGTGCTGCCTCCTCCCCCACCTTGGGAAGAACTGAGGAGCAGCAGCCCAGGAGCTGGATCTGCCTGTGACCTGAGGGGCTGCGTGTCGGTAACCAGCTGCTCTTTCAGAAACAAGTGGAAGCCGGTGTCTGCGTTACCATGGAGATGGTGCAGGACGCCCTGGACCAGCTGCGGGGGGCGGTGATGATTGTGTATCCCATGGGCTTGCCGCCCTACGACCCCATCCGGATGGAGTTTGAAGATAAGGAAGACTTGTCGGGAACTCAGGTGTGTGGCTCTCCGCCCGCGAGCTCACCCCCAGCAGGCCAGCTTTCACCTCCTCTTCCGGGGCAGCTTTTGCTCAGAGGGGAGTTCTGAATTGGGGGGAAGAGGGGGCCAGAGGGTGGTGCGCACGGCCGAGGGCGTGGCTCACACCCAGGCGGAGAGAGGCTTGGGAGGCTGCCCCTTGGCAGGAGCTGAGACGTTACCTTTTGGGGGCCACCGGAAGCCGGAACCCTAACTTGTGCCTGTTTGCACCCCAACTTTTTGGTCCCTCTGCGTGAACTCTGTGTTCCAGCCCTTCCGCTTGTTTCATGTTCTTTTCTCCCCT